TGCGCAGTTTTTTGGATGGGGGCCAGATTTGAACCTGCCACCTCTGGTATATGGGGCCAGTGCCCTACTCCTTGAGCCACAGGTGCCAACCCCTGGTCCTTTTGTATACGCTGTTGTTTTCAATCTGAATTTGCTCACTTCTCCCAAGCCTTTTCAGCTGAGTAGATATAACTCATTCTTCATGTCTCAGCCTAGATGGCTTTTTTCCCCCCCAGGAAGCCTCCCCTCTACCCCAAGTCTGGGTAGATGTTTCTTTTCAGAGCTCCACGCCACCCATTCCTACCCAAGAACAGCATCACCATCCCACTGGGTTGTGCTTCCTCTTTACATATTTTCAACCCACTTGGGACTTGAGCTACAGCAGAGTGGGAAGACTCTATTCATAGATTCTTCCAGGAGGCTAGCAAAGAACCTTTTGACTATCTCTCTGCAGTAAGAGCATTTAGTTGCAGAGGAGGTGGCAATAGTTCCAAGTAAGCCCTCACCTTTGAAGAAGATGTAATTTGAGAGAACCATGAGTGTGTCCTGGTTGAACGCCTGGAGGCAGTCCACTATTTGCCCATATGTTTGCTTCCTCACATAGTCATTAATCTGCCTCCTTGTTGTAACAGAATCCGTGAAGTTAGCGGGAAAAACAAAAGCTCCATACACCTCCTTGATGCTGTCCGAAAAGTGCTTCTGAGGCTTTAGGTGCTTGTCTAGGAACAGGGAGTTGCCTACTTTTAGTTCAAGTTTGGGGCTGGGCAGGTCTAGGGTGTGAATGAGGCTCTTGAAGCTTTGGTGGATGTCTTCCTCTGGGGTTTCTGTGAGGTTGAAGCCAAGGCCCTCCAGGATCTGAGTTGAGATGTCAGGTTGGGCCCCAAACGAGAGCAGGGCTAGAGTGGTAGAGATGCTCACGGGGGAGAAGAAGATGTTTCCGGGAGTATCTGCTGCCAGCTGCTTATACAAACGCAAGGCAAAATTGGTAATGGTGGGCATGATTTTGTGATAGGTAGGGGCTGGCTCTGAGAGCTGATGACTGGGGGGTTGTAGTCCTCCAAGACTCTGATCTTCATGGTGGGAAAGGGGCTGACACTCGATAGAGGCCAGGATTCCCACTGTGAGCAGCCACGGCCAAGCTGGGGCCATCCTCTGAAAGTAAGAAGTGAACGTGTCAGTCTTCTTCATAAACAACATCATGGCTCTCCATTGCTTACACAATGAACCCCACCATTCGCACTGCACCTCACCAGGGTACCATGAGGGGCACTGCAGAGGACAAGGTGGTGGATGGATGGTTAGGACTCTGGACAATTTCCCCTAACACTTCAGTGAGGGCAGCAACCCCTTTATCTGCTTCATATATTGATAGGGCTCCAAGATTTTATTGTGTAAAGAACTCTAGGCTATAAAACAAAGTAGCTCCCAAAGTCTATCCTCCCTCCCTCTCTCCTTCCCTTTCCTTCCTTTCTTTTTTTTCCCCCTTTTCTTCCTTCCCTTCTCTCTTTTCTTTCTTATTTTCATTCATTTTTCAATGACTTTTCAATGAAAATTAATCATTCGTTACCCATCAAGGGTCTATCTGGTCCAAGAAATGCACTACATCCTCAGTATCCAGTGGGGGAAGGAAGTAAACATAATTACTCATCTCATAAAGTTTAGGACATAGCTGAAACTTGTTCAGCTGACACTCAATAGCTAAATAAGCAAATAGATATGTGATTGCAAATTGAGAAGAATTCTATGGAGCAAATGTTCCAGACAATCTGCCTCCCTCAACCCTAGGCATCACCATTTACTGCGATCTTACTAATTGGAGAGGAAACCATAATGTGCAAAGCCTCAATCAAGCCCTAAAAGAAAGAAGAAATCTCTCTGCTTTATATGTCCTACATTAGCTGGAGTGTAATGTGACAACCACAGCCATCTAGACCATGTGGATGGGGACAGCCCCAAGAGTGGCAAAGCAGGATCAATGGAACCTGGGAGGAGAGGTGAGAGACATCCACTCTGCCTCCAGGTCCCCATCAAACCCCTGCTATCTGGAACCTCTTGCTGTTGCTGCTGATGAAACCTCTTTCTTTATTAATATAGGGCATAGGAGAGATATCTGCTGTGGGTTGAATTCTGTCTGCCCAAAATTTTTATGCTGAAGTCCCAACACCTAATACCTCTGAATGTGATCTTGTTTGGAAATAAAGTCATTTGAGATGTATTTCGTTAAGATGAGGTCATTTGAGTAGGGCCCTAATCCAATATGACTGGTGTCATCACAAGAGGGAAATTCAGGCACAGACATCCACACAGGGACAATACTATGTGAGGATGAAGGCAGAGATCAGGGTGATACTTCCACAAGCCAAGGAACACCAAAGATTACTACCAGATCAGGAGAGAGGCAAAAACAAGAAAAAGGCATGAAATAGACTCTCCTTCACAGCCCTCAAAGGAACCAAACTTGCCAACACCTTGATCTTGGACTTCCAGCCTCCAGACTATGAGATAATAAATTTCTGTTGTTGCAGCCACCCAGTGTATGGTACTTTGTTAAGCTAGCCCTTGTGAGCTAATACAGTATCTGTTGTGCTTTATTTTACATTAGAAAATGTGCCACAAGAGCCTTTGTTCTATTTCTAGGGGACCAAAGTGGTGTAGGGTCAGGAAGATCCCTTATTTCATGGCAAAGAGTGCATGGGACACTGCAGGGCAAACCACATCGTCCCTGCTTACCAAGCCTGTGTCCCTCCTCACACACACACACATCCCGTCCTCATAGAGGACTCCCTGCTCCATTGTCCCATGCTCCCCGCCCCCCAGCCTGGATGTCCTCAGGGAGGGGAATATCCTTCTTCTGCTCCCTGCAGAGCTCACTCTTCCTCTGTCCATTGCACATCAGCCATCCCTTGCTGGCCACTCCATCCTTGTTGTTCCTTTGTCCTAATAACATCTGTGTCCTAACGGGCATCTTAAATACTTTTCATCCAAACCAATAACTTCTGGGTCAATTACAAGTGCTGTGAAGGGGCCGGAGAGATCACATTTTTGCAGATGGTTTATAGTTCTTGGTGCCCTAAAAATCCTGTCAGCCCACAAAGGCCAGCTGAGGTGAGGAACAAATGTAGCCTCATTATCTGTTGTGTTGAAACATGTTTGCTGGTCAAAGTCCTGTGGACACGTCCCTAACAGCCAGGTCCTCCCTCCTCCAGCACAGCTCAGCGTGGGCTTGCTTAATGACAGTTTTCTTACACTTTGGATATTCTTCTTACTGGAAAAATTGGAAGATGAAAAACAATTTAAGAATTGCTCTTCCCCTGGGGAAAATATGAGAGCAACTGTGATGAAACTATTTCAGATTTATTCATTTTATCCTATTGAACTCAGTACCATTTTACACCCAGCTGCACCGCCAAGGACTCCCAGATTGGAAGAGCATCTGTTTCTCAAAGAGGATTGAATTGTAAGTCAGGGGCCTGGGTTTGAATCGAGGCTCTGCAGGAGCTCACTGTGTGCTACCGTGCAAAGGAAGCTCTCGGAAACTCAATGTCTCCATCTGCCACGTGTCATTGGTAATGTCCACCTTCTGGACTGGGGATGTGTAAGGGGACATGTAAGGATTATGTGACATAGAAAGTATAAAGCACCTGGCATGTACAAAGGACAAGATGAGAGTTTTCTTCTCTATGACAACTATGAGTAATGATACCCAATTCCCTTCCTAATTCTTTTTTCAGAATCTCAGTGGAAAATTAAGAACTCCATGTACTAACTATAATCTCACTTCTTAAGTGATGGGGATGGTAGATATGTTGGATCACTGGCTTCTGGCAAAAAGAGAAGGGGAGGGGCCTCCATGTACTGTTGGGTAATTCGGATTATCTCAAAGACTGGAGGAGGGGTAATGCTGGAGGTTGGTGGGGGGAGGATGAAGCACCCCAGAGCTCTTTAAATGCCCAGAGCAGTCACCTGCAATGAAGAGTGGACCCACGCAAACGCTGGTAGTGCCCTTGTTGAGAAACACTAGCTTTATCTTCCTTAATTTAATCCCATGAGAGCCTTAGCCCACAGGACTATCTTATCATCCCTACTGCACACCTGGGAGACTGACTCAGTGTGAGGATCAACACCCACAAGAGGTAGGAGTAGGATTGAAATTCCAGACCGGGCTCCTAAGCACAACCCGTTCCACATAGCAGAGTTTCTGGTAAATTTGCTAGAACAACATTGTCACTTCACTATGGATCATACTGTTCTTTTTCGTTTTATTTTCTAACTGCCAGGAATACTTGGGCATCTCCCTCTCAAAATTCTTGAAGGCCTCCTTTTCCATAATAGGTGATCAAAAACCTGAACTTTCTCCTTCAGGACTCACAGGCAGTATATGGTCACATGTTTTTCTTCAGGAAACTTATTTCTCCCATCCCTGCCACCAAAGCCAGAGAGAGGGAAGAAGAGAGTAAGAGGGGGCAGAGAGAAAGGAAGAAATGCAGAGAAGGGGCTGGAGGGAGGGGGCAGCTGCTGCCTCTGCCCTCCATCTGGGCAAATGCACAGTACTCACAGAACAAAGTCACTGAGCGGGGATCCTGGGTCTTCAGCACCGCGTCACCTCCTACCCAGAGGGAAATGGTGTTTGGAAATCCCAGCAACCTAGTCAATATTTGTCAGGTCAGTTCCTGGAACCGTATGAAGACAGTACACAGCAAACAGGTGGGATCTTTTTCTCAAAGTATCTAACCTCGGCTGCCTGTCCCCCAAACACACAAGTACACTGTGATTTGGGACCTGGCTGAGTTTGAGGGTGTTCTGGTGATAGTGATGATAGCAGGGGGGAGTGGTGCAGTGGCAGCTGCTGATATATGCATCAGAGCTTTGTATGATCCAGGCTTTATTGATCACCCTCCAATAAAAATTTGAGAGTGGCTTGGCGCCTGTGGCTCAAGTGGCTAAGGCGCCAGCCACAGACACCTAAGGAGGCGGGTTCAAGTCCAGCCCGGGCCCGCCAAACAACGATGATGGCTGCAACCGAAAAAAAAAAAGGCCAAGCGTTGTGGTGGGCGCCTGTGGTCCCAGCTGCTTGGGAGGCGGAGGCAGGAGACTCGCTTGAGCCCAGGAGTTGGAGGTTGCTGTGAGCAGTGATGCCACGGCATTCTACCCAGGGGGACAGCTTGAGACTCTGTCTCAAAAAAAAAAAAAAATTTGAGAGTGGCATGATCGGCCCTACTTTATAGACAGAGGCTGAAGCTCTGCTCTTGCTTACTGAATTGGGGGTGGTGGCCATACTCAGAAGATGGATCTGACACCCCAGCGCAAGCCTTCTCTACCACACTGAACCGTTCCAGTACTTTGCTGACCCTTCAAATAAATATCCATATGCAGGAAAAATAGACTGAAAGGAAATTCTGTAAGTAGAGCAAAATTTTCCCTCCTACCACTTAGAAGGCCCCATAAAAGTGGAATTATAGACTCATGTTTTCCCCATCTCTAAAGTTCTAGGGTGAAGCCAGGAACTAAACCAATATTTATTTATGAAAGAATCTCTTGATGATGGGATTGAAGTGACTTTTATGTTATTCTTTGGCGATTTTTGTATTCTCTGAGTTTCCTACAAAAAAAGGATGTATCTTATTTTGTTCATGTATCTTATTTTTAAGGAAAAAACAATAAAGCAAGAATGAATTATTTAATTATACAAGTAAAGCTTCATCATAAACAAAGGCTTGTTCAGGCTGGCACAGTGATTACATCCAAAGGGCACTTTGTAAACATAAAATCTCTCTGGAGAATGAACCTGATTCTCCTGGGAGGTGAGGTGGGGTAGGGGTGCCTGTGAGTCTTTCTTTGTCTCTTGTGCCTTGAGTGGCACCTTAATATAGGGCTGCAATAATCATTCTTGATATTCTGTGATGGATGATTTTGTACATGAAATCTTGGGCCAAACTGATGGGCAACGTTGACTATATTCCCACCGTCTCTGTGTCTTCGTGGGTTTTACAAACCCTCCAACCAGAAAGCCCAACTTCTGTGTTTTACATCCTACCCCAGACAGATGTCCCCACCTAAACACTTCGTACCACTGTAGTAAGTAAGGCTCTGCCCAGGCTTTCCCTGCCCTCCTCCCACCTCCCTGCCTCACCGTGTGGCCCTGCATGGTGGGGTGTGCCCCTCCTCTCAGGCACTCCAAGTAATAAACTTCTCTTTCCGGGGCAGTTGTCTCTGTGTCTGTTATCTTACCATACCTGTTTAAGATGAATTTCGGAACAAAATGAAAGGTATCTTTTATCTGAAAGAGTAGAGCCCGGAGCTCACCAAGCTGACAGATGTGTTCGATGACTGTTCTTGTACCTGCTTGTTAACACAAGCCTGAATGGGCAGGGGATGCCACCCGAGGCTGCCTTCATTGTGAAGTGCCACCTGGGATCAAGGCTGGGGTGCTGACAGCGCTCCCCCACCCCGCACTGGGGGTTCTGATGTTTCCTAGAACAACCAAAGTGCCATTAGTCAGTCCTTCATACCTGCCATCTCCTTTGTGCTATTGTAGGATATCCTATCTGCTCTTGAAACCACCTGAGCTGGGAGACATGTATGGACTAGTGCGCTCTTTAGAGAAAAGGACGACTGGTTTCTCCACTGCACCTTTAAGGATGGCCTGAGGCCAGGACATTGAGTATGAAACAAAGCTTGGGACAGGCAGCATCAGGAAACAGTCAGAATTGTAGCCCCTGGTAACCAGACTTTCATCTTTGTTCTAATTCTGACCAGGGAGCCCTGTGGCCTGGGTTGGTTTTCGCTCTTTTCATCTCAGCTCTAGTGTAGGGGCAGTGGGGGGTGGGGTTAGGCTCCTTCAGGCTGCTGCAGTGTGAAGTGCAGTGCAGGGATCTTTGGATTTGACGGGAGCATAGGCTCCCCTGGAGGCTACAGGAGACACCCCCAGTAGTAAGTGGAAGGAGGAAGAAACCAACACAATCTATGTGGCATCAAGGAAAAAGAGGAGGTGGGAATGATTCAAAGGACATGAGCTGCCTTTGCCCTGCGCTGCTGTGGCCTACGGGATTGCATGTAGCTCTAGGAACTCAGAGGAAGGGAGCCAGACCATAGTGATTACAACCAGCAGGGGGGAGGCTGAGCAACCATGTGCACACATCCATGACAATATCACAGAGGAAGACAGCCGGCCCCACTGAGTTGGGAAACTATTCCACAGCACCCAGGGAGATTTTTGCAACTCATGCAATAGCAATTGTCACTTGGTTTTCTGGAGCTCTGCACCAAACTCAGACTGCCCTCCTTGGCCAACAACCCCCACACCATCTGGCCTCCTTGTGACTATGTCCTTGTTTCTGCCTTTTCTCTTCTGTCTGTGCCACACGATGCTCTAGACATTCTCTACTGTCCCTCTAACACATCTGCTCATTCTTGACTCATGGCCTTCACAACTGTGATAGCCTCCTTTGCCCTCCTGTTACTCTCTCCCACCATCCCCTCCAGGGCTTCCATGGCACTTATCCTAACCTGTTACAATCATGTGAATTTGAAGGTTTGGTTTTATTGTTGTTGCTGGGTGGTCTGTCTCCCCATTTAGCCCCAACAGCCTGGGATCTTGTCCATTTGAGTCACTCCTAGCATATATGAGGTACTCAATGAGTTTTCGTTGAACAAATGAAGGCACAAATTCGTGCAGCCTTCAATAAATAATTTTCAGAGTAGGACACTGCAGGATGTGGGAGCCCTGTTGCTGGCTGAATTGATGCTGTAGTTTTATTGAATTTAATGAATTTATCACTGTAATTCTGCAATAAAAGTGGCTGATCTATATGTTAACATTCTTAGGAATTCCAAAGAATATTGCACACCAACCTAGCAATATTCCATGAAGCTGGATACCTAGGAGAATTTATGGAAAGGTGCACTGACTAGGGTTAATGGACATTGTCTTGTGATGGGTCTCTACCGATGGTGTGATGATAGAGCATTGCAGCCCTGCTGGAGTTAGGAGACCCTCAGAATAAGAGGTGGCATGTGATTTGTTATTTCCTGTGCATTATCCATGTGCAATCAGGCAACAGGCCATTTTCCACCTAGGACACAGTGGGATTTTCAACTTTCCCTAGAAAGAGAACACTGTCTATGTCTTGATTCATAAGCAACAGCAGGAAGGGCCTATCGAAGAAGACAGTGTAGTGAGAAGGGCCATCCTTTGATCGGACTACCAGCTTGGTGGCAGTAGCTGCTACAGCCTCGGTACCCTCCTCACCGACGTCCAGGACAGCCTTGTGGGTGGCCTGCCAAGGGAAAAATAAACATCAGTGGTCCCCACAGAGACATGACTACTTAACTAAGCTTTGGTGTTTTTGCCTGGGCATGGGGACACCTGCCTCAAGGGGCTTCAACGTTATGTATGCTAAAGGTCTAGCATTTGCTTTGCTCACTAAATTGCAACTGGTGTTGGCTTTTGGTCCACTGACCTTACTCATGGAGTTAAATGGTTATAAATACAGACTAGGAAGATATAGGATTGAGGCTCAGTTCTGCCACTTATTGTTGCCAAAGTTACTTTGATGTTGAGTGTTTCAGTTCCAAATCTATAAAAAGTGTTAATCATTGCATGTACCCTGCACAGTGTAAATTAAAGGAGGTCATGCAAAGCAAGTGTTCATGTACCTGCGGCAATAGCAATTGCTACAATTCTTGCACAGCACACTGACTTTGGTATTACTAAAGGTCAGATCCCTTCTTTGTCTTCTAGAGAAGAGATTCTTAACCTGGGGTTCCTGCACTCCTGAGCTTCCGGGAAGTTATGCGCTTGCAGTGATTATAGACATGGTTTTCCATAGGTGCACAGAAGCATTTTCCTTGAAAAAGTCTATTATGTTCATATTCCATTGGGACCTTTCTGCAGTCCCTGAAAACCAATGACAGGTTTCCTTCTGTGCTCCCAAGACCAATTCTGACCATTACAGACCATCATCAAAATAGAACTGTAGGACAGGGATGAGAAACCCATATGTGGGTAGTTGCTAAGGAGGTTACCCAAATTCTCTGAGGGACCTTCTGTAAGAGCATGGCGCCTGGGTAGTTTGGAGGATACAGGCTGGCTAAAGGGGACGCTTAAGGCTCAACTCCAGTGACAGCTGCTGTGGAGGGGTTTGGGCTTACCATAGCCCTTGTGGGAATTGTCCTCAGTGATTTACTTCAGAAGGGTTATAAATCTAGACTTTGAGATCCAATATAACAAGCTTTAAAAGTCCTCTCTCTAAATATTGAAGGCCAAACACTCCCACAGGTACAAATGGCCTATGAACAGTCACATTATAAGGTCTGTGTGAAGACCCAAACTTGAGGTCAAATGCCTGATGCCAGGGGGCACTACCCCTCTGCCCCAGGTCAGGGTGCAGCAGCACTGCCTGCTGAGGACGCCTTCAGAACGTCCGTTTGAAGAGGGATAAAACGTGCCTGTGTGTCAGGTGCGATGGCCGTGAAGCCACAGACCTGGCAGCCACAGTATTCAGCTTTTCTGGCCACAGAGAAATCACTTCCCTCTCAGGCCTGGTTTCCCTCTCATATCAGTGAAATGAGAACGTCCCATTCGCCAATCTCTGTAGGCTCTTCTAGCTCAGACTTTCTTGCAAAGATTCTCTTCAATCAACTCACTTTAGAAACCTGCAGGAAGTCTCTCTTTACAATTCCGGAAAAATCGGCATTTTTGTTAAAGGCGTTGCAGATGCCCATCTTTGGGAGGATGGTTTCTAGATTGTAGGAGGCAGAAATAGAAAATTTGGGGATGAACACCTCTATCCACCTGTAGAGAAGACAAAGGAAAGAGGTGAGGTCACAATCCCATGGTGTTTCCATCTCGGCTTCTAGATGGCATTTTAGGAGGCTTGGCTCCTCCTCCAGATGTTTGTTAGTTGTGCTGCTAAAAGAGTCAAGACATCCTACCAAACTAGGGTGACCAGACGTCCCGCTTTTGGCAGGACAGTCCTGCTTTTTAACAATTTGTCCCGCGTCCCACGGCTTTTTAAAAAAGTCCCGATTTTTGGAAAGAATGCACGAACGGGCGGGAGAACAGGAAGGGAATATACAGTTTTCAGCTGCCATGTGACTATTTCGCCAGAATATGAGTTTTGTATTATTTTTGTTAATTTTATAATGTTAAACTGTAATAATAACAAATAATTGTTGAGAAGTGATTATCGAGAACTGCTTATCAAAGTTTGCATTGTTGTCAGGCCCTGCCCTGCCCCCCCTCCATGTTGTCCCGCTTTACAAATGTTAAAATCTGGTCACCCTATACCAAACAACCCAGATTGCTCCGGAGGTAAATCTCCCAGCTCAGCAAGTCCAGCAAGGACAAACAGGCCCCCTGATGAAGCAGGGTGCAGAGGTGAGAAGGTGGCCCAGAGAAGGTTTCCCAATGGGAAACATCTTATAGTAAAGGAAGCTCAGCCGCGCCCCACCCACTGTGCCTCTCCACCAACCCTGGCTCAGCCGCGGCCCCGCCCACCGTGCCTCTCCACCAACCCTGGCTCAGCCGCCGCCCCGCCCACCG